TTTTTTTTTTTTTTTTTTTTTTTTTTTTTTTTTTTGAGGGAGGGTGTGGGCGGGTTGTAAGGGGTCGCACAAGACGTTAGATTTTTCCACTTTTAATGGAGATGACCCGCGAGAAACCAGTTTCCTAAAAATGTCACGTGACTGGAAGGTGATGCAAGAAAATTTTTCGAAAGTCAATGTTTGCATTTAAGAATGACAATAATGAAACCACCTTTATCTTCGATGATAGTAAAATAATGCGGCTTTAATCATATTTCCACACACACAAAGAGCAACGTCACTCATTTTGAAAAACTTTCTTTGTCCTAGTAAAGTTCCAATAAACATTTAGTAAATATTCGTTTACCAAAGAGAAGAGTAACATTGAAGAGGAAAACAATAATGTAAATAGCATACTAGATATTTTTTAAGATAGACAAACGGTGGCAAAGTTCTTCTACATGGATCCCCCAATTAATTATTTATATATCTATTTATTAATTTTTTTTTCAGTCTGTCCTTAATACTCCTGGACCCAGTTGTATAAAGGGCGGTCAACGCTATCCAACGGATAAATCGCTATCCAGCGGATAAGAGATTGCACAACGTACTGTGCTTTCCACCAAAGAAAGATTTATTCGCTGGATAGCGTTATGCAACCTTCGAACAACTGGGGCCTGGGGTCTAACTTTGACCTCGATGAGACATTGCGCCAATGTAATTTGGGCTGTTCGGCCGGTCAAGCAAAGAACTCAGAACATTATCAGCATTTTTATCGCCTGAGGCTTGTCTTACCTGAAGCTCTTTTCTCCAACACACTCGACAATACACCTGTGTATTGGTAAAGATAAAGTCATTCAAAACAGTTTGTCTTTTTTTGCCTTTGTTGCTTTCTAACTCTTCGTGGCGGAAATTAGTTACACTCTAAATCGTACAACAATGCAGGCTCATTGCCTTTGTGAGTATCTTTCCCAAACAATACAATATCGATTTTCTATTCAAACCCTTAGAGTTTTGGGACGTGACTTTTAAACACATGACCTAAATTTAACAGTAACTAGAATTGGCGATATTTATGGAGTTTAGCTTTGACAGTGTAAAAAAGGTAATCAACTTTTGCATGAAAAGTGGTGAGATAGGATTAAAAAAGATAGGTGAATCGTCCAAATGAATCTGGTGCTGGATGATTCCCGAACTTTAACCTTTACGCTCCAAAGCTACATAACAAAACAGAGATTTTTTACTCATTTATAGCAGTCTGATGAATACGTGTACGTTTAGCTTTCCATGCACCCTGATTTTCAGTCTTTCCAGAGCCGAACTCCGTGCATCAACGTTTGAATAGCAGTTACATAAGTAGCAAAACTACATTACTTTACTTGGACTACAAACCCGAACCAAGCAGAAGAACAGGTAAAATATTGGTCAGCAGTATCCGCGGATTCTGCACAATCATCTTTCTTTTGCTGGCTGTTACACCGGGTACTACACTTTACTGCCTTTTCAAAATCCCTTCCTTCCTTAGATAACAATTCAATTCTAAGACAAAGAACTGCCAGATGCCATAAAATCTGGTACACCTGAATAAGCTTACGTGACTAAGTGTCCCATTTTTGTGACAACTTTCATCTATTCAATTAAATCTCAAACGAGAATATCTTTTTGCAGACCAGATGTCCAAATAACAGAGGAGAAAATTCACATTTTCTGAATTCAATAGATAGTTATTGCTGGCATATAGCTTAATGGTGTCTTAAAAGAGAATGATATACAGTTTCCTATATACGCTAAATCTGGGTTTATAACATAATAAACTTTATCAGGTTAAAGGGCTTGCATGTAACTAGTTATGTCATAAAAAAGTTATGTCATAGAGCGCATGCACTTTTTCCGAGCTCTTCAACGTGATAAAGCCACTCGGGATCATGGAGTTGGGAGAACACTCGGAAAGCCTATGAATCACGAGCCGAAGGTGAGTGATTTTTACAAGCTTCTCTCATGTTCTCCCAACATCCCACGTGGCTTTATGACGTTATAGAGCTCGGAAAAAATGGATTCCACTGCTTAAGTATCATGAATTTACCAGTCTGAATGAAAAATGCGAAGCTTATCATATTTAGCCCGTGAGAAGGCGATAAATCTATTCTGAGGGACCGGGAATTATTTGTCGCCTAAGGGGGAGGGGGGGAGGAGGTCGGAGGATTTTGGTTGTGTCACAATGAAATGGATCTGATCATAATCCTCACCCCCTTCTTTTCCCAATCAAC